TTTTTTTTTTAAATTCATGATCTCATTAATTTGAAACTTGCAACAATGCTGTAAACTAGATATGACTCTTACCGGAAGATGGAGGCATGGACTGATAAAAGAACTTAATCGAGCTGTCCTTAACCTATAGGCTTGCCTGCCTTGCTGTTCCACAGAGGGCAGATATTGGGTATAGATACACCGGCCAGATCTTGGCTGCATATGATTTCCCCCCTGTGATATTTTAAAACAATTGTAACTCATTTCCAGCAATTTATTTATTTTTAGTGGTACTGGGGCTCTAACCCAAGGCTTTGAACATATGAAGAAAATGTCATACCACTAAGCCATACCCCCAGCTGTCAACTTTTTAAAATTGAAAGATCTCCCACAAATATCTAAATTTTCTGCCAGAACATCTGAAAAAGCCTGGCACTGATTGGCTGGAGTACTCTATTGGCCACAGTCCCCGCCTCTCTCTAAGTCCTCCATTGTGTGCCCTCCTCATTGGTGTTGCCATCCTGGGGTCTGCAGGTGTCTGAAGACATGATCCTTGCTCTTTATTTCATAGCAGAGAATTTAAGAGGATGGATTCCAAAGAGAGGGTGCTTGTTTGCTTCGTGACTTGATGTACGACCCTGTGAGCATCTCTCTGGGCTTTAGTTTCCTTTCTTTGCAACACAAAGATAATTACAGTGCCTATCTCAGAAGGGGGGCGTGAAGCTTAAATTAGCCTGTGGTTATAAGACACTTAAAAGAGTGTCTAAGCCTCGATCAGTGCGGTAGGGTGATGGTTGTTATTACTGTTTACTCCTTTACAAAACAGTATCTTTTAGGATTAGGCCTGGTGGACTCTTTGTTTAAAATATCTGTCAATTTATCTGTATTTTATTATAAAGCTGTTAGACATTATAATGTGGTAAGAAAGACTTCAGCTTCTTCCTATTTAAAATGAAGATAATAAAATGCACCTCGTGGGTTTTATGAAGATTTTGTAAGCTAATAATTGTTAAAAGAGTACAGCGTCGTGCCTGACATAGTACGATTCACAGGGTAACTCCCACTTCTTATCCCAGGCCCTCTCAGCCTCACCACTACTGACATATTGTGCTAGGTAATTCTTTGTTTTGGGGGACTGACTTGTACATTTTAGAATATTTAGTAACATCCATGACTTCTACCCACTAGATGCCAGTAGCACCCAGTTCCCTGATATGAAAGTTAAAAATGTCTCCAGACATCACCAAATGTCCCACGGGGTTCAGATTCCTTGAGTAACACTGTGTCAGATCTTGTGGCCGAGTTTTCTCTGCATAGTGTGGTTGCTGCCTCCATTCACCCCTGAGGTCAGGGGAACAGAGTAGGGATCTTAGAGTGCTTCTGGTGGGTTGGCTGTGGCGCCCAGCAGGGGGTCTGGGATGAGCTTACTAAGCTTCTGTGGCTGTACCCCTTCAGGAAGTTTGTTTATCTCTGATTAAACTCATTCATACCATTCATTTGTTTTCTGTAGAGTCACAATGACCTCCCAGGTTTGAATTCAAATTCTCTTCCTCATTTGCTGTGTGACTTTGGTAAAGTTACTTAACCTCTTGAAGCCCATTTCCATATTTAAAAAATGGAGATAATACTACCTGCTGTGTGCATTGTCATGAGCCATCAAATGAGATAATGCTTGCAAAGTGCTTAGATCTCACATACATGTGAGCCATTGTTATCAGTACAAGGTCCTGCTGGGGATATGGGAGTGGGGTGGGGGCCACAATGAGGAGAACACAATTCTGTGCTTCTACATCTTGGTTAACACTTTCCCAAATTTACCCTCTAATACTTGGCAAACGTATTTGGCTTATATTTCAATGGAGACCGACAGACAGATGTATATATTCTCTGTACAGATTTCACCGTGTTTCTCTTCCATCCTCTCCTAAACAGATTCCTGTGTGATTAGTGAGCATCCCAAAATACAAATCAAGAACTCGACTTTCTGCATGACTGCCTATCCCAACTTGACAATGGTTAACTTCACCAGCCAGGCCAACAAGACGTTTGTCAGTGGGAGTGAAGAGTACTTCAAGTAAGATGGCTGGGGAGTGTGTGTGTGTGTGTGTGTGTGTGTGTGTGTGTGTGTGTGTGTACTTCCTAAGAGAAGCCCAGTGAGTTATAGATGTTCATTTTAAAGACTAGAGGTGAGGGGGTGGCGTGGTGGGCCACTTCCATGTGTATCTTGACTGTTCAGGGAAATATGTTTTTTCCTGGTTTGGCTTCCAGATGCAGATTGTGATACATTGGAGGCCTTGAGAGGAGGGTTGGCTGGAAGATGGTTGGTGGGAACAAGATCAATGCTTCTGTAATTCATCATGATAATGGAAAAAAAATTGTAACCTTGATCCAGTGTGATCAAGGCAGACCTTCGGTTAACCAGATAATTTTTTTTTTTCCCAACTGCTCTTGATTTTCAGGGAAGAAAGGCAAAAAAATAAGAAATTCAGTCATTATCAAAGTTTTAATGTAAATAAGAATGAATTTCCTCCTCTCTCTTTCTCTCTCTATAGCTTAGTTTTGTATTTTCTATATCTATATTACGGTACATTGAATACTGAGGCTCAAAGATACTAGAAAATTCTCAGCTACTTTAGGAAGATTTAGAAAATTTCATGAAATTGTACCTTAAGGAAGGTAAATGTAGAGATTTCAACCAAGGGTAAAAAAATGAGTATTTTCCAGCTAACCTTTAAGTAAGGAATTGTGAACTCGAATGCGCTCAGGGACCTGGTAGGGAATATAAATGAGTCAAGTACAGACACGTAAGACTATAGAGAATGGTGGGGACTGTGGAAAACTGAAGAGGACACCTCCCCTGTGTAAGGGAAGCCAGTGAGGCTCAGCCCCATCTCATCACTGCCTGGGGGAATATGGATCAGCATCATCAGAGCTTCCCTTTCCCCAAAGAAGTTGGAAATATAACCTAGATTTTTATGTGATCTCTCCCATTCTAAATGTTAGTAAAAAATAATTCAAATAAAACACTGGAGCCAAATAAAATACCTATATTGATGGCTGCCCTGCTAGCCATCCAGCCAGGCTCCAGTTAGTTATGCAGATTGTGATATTGGAGGGTACAGGGGTGGGGTGGGGGCCACAATGAGTAGAACACAATTCTGTGCTTCTACATCTGGGTTAATAGTTAGTGGCCTTTACTAGATGGTAGGAAGTGGTCACTCATACCTCGCTATTTCTCCCAGTTGCCATTAATTTCCATTTCAGATTTTCTTTTCTGTATGGTCTCAAAAGGTACATGGTTGTCCCCTGCAGGATAGAAGGGAGATTAAGGATGAATGATTAATCCTCTGAAGACAGTTCTCATAGGGGTGATATGGGTGGCCTTCAATTCACTCTGAGCAATGAAAATCTGAGCCTGGTGGGTATCTGACAAAATCTGACGGCACAATCTGTGTGGTTGGGTATCCTGGAAAATGATTTGTGACCCTGCTTTTGGTGGTTGTTACTGATCCAATGGGGCCAGTTTTAATTTCTAAGAAGAAATGTTATCAGGAGCTTTTTGGGACTTGTCTCAGGTCTCTTACTGAAGCACAGAGTAGTTGAGATGGTCAAGGCACTGTGCAATTTTTGAATAAGTGGATTTTTTTCAGGAATGGGAACATGGGGGAAGTTTCCCCCCAACCTTGGGAAATTTGATCCCCAAAGTTTTACCATGGAGCCAAGTTAAGTTCCACTACTGGTTAGTCCCACTCAAATTTTGAGCCCATTTGCTCCCAGGTTTGGGACTGAAGGAGGCTCTATCCTCACAAAACTTGGCCCTGCCTGTTTTGAAGGGCATGACTGAGTGTGGTAGAACAGCCCGAAGGAGCTGTGTATGGCCAGCTGGCAGGAGGCTGTGAAGCTGGCCAGGTCAGGAAAGGCACCACCATCCTCATTTCCCTCGGCAGGTCAGAACCTGTACAGCCCTGTGGAGTCTGGTTTCTTGATGGCCCTTTGTTCAGGACACAGAAAAATGTGGACCTACAAATAGCAATTTCATATAGCAGGCGTGGCTAAGTTGTCACTGAGTCAAAGTGACTGAATATGCTATCAGGCTCAGTGACCTTGAAATTGACTCCTGGTCTCAGGATAGAGGCTGCCCTGCTAGCCATCCAACCAGGCTCCAATTACTTGCTAGGGATGTAGGAAAGGCCAGGCAGGCTGTGACTTCTTCATTGACACCGGTTGTCAATAGCAGCTGCAGTTGACCAGCAGCCCCCTTCTGTTGGCACCTGCATATCTGCTTTGAATCCAATGCTTGAATAAGGTCAGGCCACCCTTTCTTGTACATTGTAGCTGACCTCAGCTTCAGGACCTGCACAGTGCAGTCTGAACTATAATATAGAGAATTTCTAGTCATTTAGCATAAGTGGTTTCTACTGTGTACTACTTTTCCAAATTTAGCATTATGCAAATATTCTTATAACTCACTAGAACAATGCAGAAAACACACAGAAATTATGCTTGACAGTTTGGAATTTCAATTGCACTTCTGCGGCAGTTCCAGATGATGGTGGGCTGACTGTCTGGCTCAGAATTGTGCCGAGGGCCACAAGTGTCCTCCTAGCACATCATTAAGAGCACAGTAGATCCAGCTGGTGTCTCTGCAGACAGCTATGGGCGAGGGCCCAGTTCTGCAAATCCCTCACAACCTGATCTGATTAGGTCCCTGGTGAGGAGGCTGGGGGACATTGCTGGGTTTGTTCAAGGCTCCTGGCTCTGCTGGGGACTGTCACTTCCTCTTCTTTCCCTCTCATTCCTCTCCCTCCCTTCTCTTTTAATCCTCAGGTACTTCGTGCTGAAGATTTCTGCTGGGATTGAGTATCCTGGGGAGATCAGGTGGCCACTAGCTTTCTGCCTCTTCCTGGCTTGGGTAATAGTGTATGCATCCCTGGCTAAAGGAATCAAGACTTCAGGAAAAGTAAGAACTTAGGTTTATCTAAGTAAGAGAAAGCTGTGGAATGCCCAAGGGTGGCTGTGTCATAGAGCAGGCAACAGAGCAATGGGAAGGGAGTCTGTGGATGTGGGTGCTAATTCTGATTGTGCTCCATGGTAGCTGTGGAGCTCTGGGAAAGTGACTTCACTCCTGTCTGTAAAGTGGGGATAGAAATACTGTTCTTGTAGGGACCCAATAAGACAAATGTGTTCAGAGCTTTAGGTACTGTGATTATCAGTTTCTCCCTGTCCTATTAGGGCAGACCCTCGTTCCACAGATGGATGTGATTTGGTTGCTTTCCTTAAACTCTCAAGTTCGTGCTTTTGTCTGTCTTCTTGCCTCTGGGTCTGACCGCCAGGTCAGATATTGCTTCTGCCAAGAAGATGGTTGCAGATCAAAACTGCAGGGGAGTCCTTCTCATTCCACCATCATGTTCTTGGTTTTCATGCCCTTCTTCCAGCACCCAGCTTGACACTTTCTCAACCCTCAGGCCCCCAGCACTAAAGGAGGACAGTCCTGTCAGTGGGACTGACTGAGCCAATGCTGGACTAGTCTCACTGAGCAGTCTCTTGGTTGGGCCCCTGGGAAACTACGGAACTCCCTCTGCAGCCCATTTCCAAGCCTCAGAAGGCCAGGAGTCCAGGCAATCCCAAGCCACACTGGCCATTGTTATAGGGCCACATTGACGTTTTTCTGTCCTCCTGCTGTCTTAGAAAAACCCCACTGATGGCTTGACCAATCTGTTTTTGCATTACAAAACAACCAATAATATCTGGTGACTCCAAAAGGCATTTGCATGCTTCAAAATGAAAGTGAAAACGTCTTTAAGACCCAAGGAATGAATATGTAATGGTGGACTGAGATCATAGGGTGCGCAGTGAGACTTGGTCCAGGTGTCCCGGCCAGGGCTTTCTGTGGTGACATTATCACCAACTGACTTTGGAAGGATCAGACCGTGTGGGGAGGCTGGTCTGTCCACCTCCCAATCCTCAATCCTCAGAATGCGCCCAACCAGATACTCAAACCTGGCTGGCACCCCTTGGCCACATAAGCCAATCTGTGTTCTCTCTGGGCATATGGACATGCTCCTGGGTGCCCTTTGATTACAGGTCTTTCTGGTTCTTTCTAGATAATCTAGTGCCACAGGGATGTAAATCATGAGCATTGGCAGGTATGTCATCTGGGACAGGTAGCAGAACTCAAATCGCACAATGTGAGAAGAGTCAAGCCAGCTAGAGACAATCCGACTGTGGGGGAGGGCACCCTGGGGACTTTTCCTGGTGTTTGCTGAAGAGGGACATCTCCACTTGGGCCGTGAAACTTGACTGGGTTTTTAATTGGCTCTAAGCTTTTATTTGTTCTTGTCAACAAATGAAAAGAGAATGTTTTCATCTTAGCTATTTTAGGAAATTTTGGTTTCCTCATTTCTAAGGGGAAGGTAGGTGGGTGACGTCTAAGGCCCTCGTATCTTTAGCATTATCCTGTCTGAACACTTGCTGAGTGTGCTGCGGGGCGGGGGGTGGGGGGGTGGGGGTGGTGTCACTTTCTTCTCTGACTTCAGTTTCTCCTTCTATAATAAGAGCTGGGATTAGCTCAGAGTACTAGAGGCTGGGTCGTGGGCTTTTTAAGGCTGTAGGAAGATAGGACAATGTTAAAGTGACCCTAACAACAATGCCCAGAGTGGCCTTAGTTTCCTGGAGTCCTTGTCTTCTGTGGCTTGGCACTGAGCTAGGAAGGGAGTTCCATTGTCCTCAAAGGGCCCAGCCAAGAGATTGGTCAGCAAGACTAGCCAAGTATTTGTTGGACCAATATTCCACCAGCAGGATTGCCTCTTGAGGCTAAGGGTGGAGACTGTCCCTTATCACTAAACCGTGATCTAGTGGCTAGGCTAGAAGGTGAAGATGTGCCTGGCTGGACAAGAGGTGATAAATGAGGAGCTGGGAGAACAGGAGCCTTCTTGGTGGCATGAGGAAAAAAGACCTGGTGCCTCCAGAGTCAGACCAAACTGAGTTCAAGTACCGACGTGAACACGCTATTTAACCTTTGGAACCTGGCTCCTTATCTGTACTTTGAGGATGACAGCATGCGCCACATAGGATTGCTGTGAGGAATGAATGAGATAGTGCATGTGTAAACCTGGCATACGATCAGTGAACGTTAGCTCCTTTCATTTTTTTTTAAACATTTATTTTTTTAGAAGTGGTTGGGCACAACTCCTTCCTTCCTTCCCTCCTTCCTTCCTTCCTTCCTTCCTTCCTTCCTTCCTTCCTTC